CGTCCCCGCTCCTTTCAGATGGAGACGTGGTCAGGCTGGGCGGGCGGCCTGGGGGATGCTCGTGGAGGCAGCAGGCGGGAAGGCCAGGGAGGGCGTGCGCGCCTGGCAACATGGAGTCGCCTGGCTAATTTGGGGACCTCCGGGTGTCTATTGCAGACGTGACTCGGAGCAGAGAGGTGGGCAAGTGCACCCTGGGGTGCCAGGACCGGCAGGTCCTGGGCTGCGGGTAGCTTATCGGCCTCGGGGAGCTCCTGTGTCCTTGTCTACGCGGGGCAGTGGGCACAGGGATTCCTGCAATGGGACGGAGCACCCAGCATAGCACCTGGCATATAGCGTCAGGACAGAGGCGACAAGAGCAGTCGTATGAGTCATCCGAAAAAGGGAGAGGAAAGAAAATTCATGCGTACTTGGCTTGGAGCATATTTCGGTACTTACATCTGACCTTGGGTATGGCTGATGCTCTGCGAATTCAGAATCCTAAACAAAACAACGAAGCCACAGTGTGGGGACCTGGCTCAGAGGACCCGGGCCAGCAGCAGGCTCCCCTGCTCTCCGTCCCGCTCGGGCCCCTCGCCAGCGCCCTCCGGCCTGGCCCTCACGCGCTCCGCACCCTCCTCCCTGGGCCGGCGCAGCGGTGACTAAGCGTCTGGTCTTTGAGACTCCGCTGGACACAGACTGAAGGGAGGACGCGGGAGGGAAACCGCGTTGGCCGAGGACCTGACTGTCCACCCTGCATAACCACCTCCTTGAAGGGCAGAGTCGCGGGGATGAATCAGAGGTCCCCACCGTCCCTGGCGCACTGAGTCCACCTGTTACCAGAACAACGTGCAGGGTGGAGGTGAGGCCTGCACAGAAGCCAGCCGGGTTCTGCATGCGCAGGGAGGAGCCTACCACCAACTCCATATCTCAGGTGGACCCATGGGGCCTAGGTGGACAGTAGGTCCACCCTCCGTGGTCTGAAGCCGCGGAGGCGCGTCTGTGACCACAGCTGAACTGAAGACCGCTGGGTGCCCCGCGGCCTGGGGAGAGGGTCCTGTGGGGCCCACGCTCGGCATCTCTGAGCCCCGGCTGTGTACAGGGAGGACTTGCTTTTCCTTTGACCTTTTATTCCCGAGGACTGTTTCCCCCACTGGACTGGCCACAAGGCCGCAAAGCTTTTGGAAACTCAAGCTTCAACCCAAACCCACCCCTCTTAAGTCTCCACACTAAGGAGACGTTGACCCCCAGAAGGTGCACAGGCTGGGGCGGGGTCTTCCCGGGTGGCCGGGCACAGAGCATGGGGCCTGGGTCTCCTTCTGCCTGAATCACTCTGGGGGCACGGGCCTTGCGCTCACGTTTCACCGCCCCGCGGAGGGTCACAGCTAAGGCTAAGGCCCAGGGCTGTCGGTCTGAGCTCTGGCTTATTCTACGCCATGTGCAGCTGGGGCGGAGCTGCCCAGGGCCGGGCGGCAGGGCCAGCTACCTGAATCCCGATGGAAGAGCGGTGGCCCTTGAGCAGCTCCTCAGCCTTGGACGCCAGGATGGCCTTGTCGCTGGTCCGCATCGAGCTGCTCTGGCTGTCGGGGATGTGGCGCTGGGCCGCGGCCGTTTCCAGAGCGAGGTTCATGGCCTTGTTGCTGTCTAGACTGTCCGTGGAGTTGTAGAGGCCACGGCTGTCCTGGGGCCACGGCGACATCCTCTGTGCGCGGCTATCCTGGTAGGCGTCCTGGGTGGACTCGGTGCTGCTCTGGGCCGTCACCGAGATCAGAGGCTTGGAGGTGGTCCGGGGAGGTACGGGTGGGGGTGTTTTTTTGTAGTTTGTGTATGAGACGGCTGGAAGAGAGAGAAACCCGCGTCAGCAAGCATGTTCCCACCAGCACCTGGCCTGCACCTTCCCCGCACAATACCCTGTGGCCTGTCCAGCAGGTCCACCCCTGGTGTCCAGCCTAAAAGGAGGATGAGATCGTCCACGTGGATACACTTGTAACAGTGAAGAGTTACAGAAACACCACAAAACCCAGCAATAGAGACAGGATGAGGCAAGGTGTGTCCCGGCAGGACAGAACACACACAGCCCCACCACTGTCTCCCTGTGAGGCTTTATCCCGCTAAGTCAGCAGAGCAGGCAGAATGCCACGCGACACACGGGCAAGGACGGGGCATGTTTGCAAAGAAAACTGTGCAGGAGGAAAGATTAGCAGTGCATAGAATGTTCGTCGCGGCTCTCGTTGAGTGACAACATGGCAATGCTTGCTCTTCTCCTAGACTGTGTTTTCTAAAAGTCATTACAGTGGATACTATTATTCTGTAATGGAGAAAATATATAATATCACAAAACTATTTGCTTCCCGTAAGTACAGGCTCAGTGGGTGTAAGTCGAAGAACGTCCCCTGCGAAGGGATGCGAGGGCTGCACGCCTGCCGGCCGTCTCCCCTCCTCAGCCTGCACCACACACACGGGTCTGCGCCGCCGGCCAAGTCAACCGGCCTCCTGGGGCTTCACTGGGCGAACCTCAAGTCGTCCCGCCAAACACTTCCGCAGTGTTAGCCGGGGCAGTTCTGTCCCCACGCCCCCCCCCCACCCCAGGAACACTGGGTGATGTCTGGAGACATTTTTGGTTGTCTCACTTTGGCAGGTGGAGGCCGGGGTGCTGCCAAACACCCTGCAACACACAGATCAGCCCCAAGACGTATCCACCCCCAAACATCAACAGACCCCAGGTTGAGAAACCCAAGTTAGCGAACCATTGTGTCTTTCTGGGGGG